TCTCTCCACTTATCCAGAGCTTTGTACGTGGTGTCCATGCAGACACTGTCCGTCTTCCACTTCCAGATGAAGTGGAAGATGGCTCGGGGGACTGCAAAGGTGTGGGCTTGCGGAATGGGCCAGGCCGGTGCCATGTGCAGGAACATCGACAGTACCACCAAGAAGGCCATCAACAAACACCTAGAACTAGACCCTATATATATGCCACTGCGAAGGAAAACCGGAAATGAGGTAATCAAATCTAATGGACCCCAGAGTTTAAATACCAGGCGGGAAAACCCAACAGCGCTTCATCGGGGGCTGCACTGCTGATGTTACCCAGCAGGGTAATGAAACGTCTACGAACCGACCAACCAGCTCGGCAAGCGAACCTGAGCTACAAATCTACTCGAACCTTAAGAGACCTATAGGCGAAGTACGCTCAAATTGGCCCGGAAATGGGAAAACTACGCCAAACGACAGAGTGCTACCTGCGAGCAACTCTGTTTCCTATGTAGATGCCTTAGGAACCAGATATTATAGCGCAGTGTGAGATACAAACCCCCCCCCATCAACAACACACATGCACATAGGACAGCAGAACACAATGGCCGCAGGATGGTGATGGTAATGATTAATGATGCACACAACCAGCTCCATAGATATGACAGTGAAATTATGCGCAAAAAACTCTATTCCTAGATGCTACCAACCTAGACTGGACAACAGACTTAGAATGAGCCATTAATGTCAGTCAACAGATAATAAGAACCAAAAAAAGACACATCCTACAAGAAAAACTAGCCAAACTAACCCACCAAAAGGACAACCATAGGTCAGACACTTGGATAAGAAACCTTTCAGACAGGAAGCTAACAGACACAGAGAAAACTGTTCTAATACATGGACTCGACTACAACCACTGAGACGGTAACAAGACAGAATTTCTAGCCACACTAGAAGTCACACTAAAGACCAATGGCATCAAAAAGGAAACAGCAAGCCGTAAGACAAATAGTGGTCCCGACACTGACCAGAAGGAGCGAACTTGATGACACACTCAACACATCAGAAAGGAAGGCCCTAGAAGGTCTGAAAAAGACAAAAACATCGTAATATTACCAGCGGACAAAGGGCGCCTGAAGGTAATACTAAACAAAAGGGACTACCTCACTAAAGCACAGACACTCCTTGCAGAAACGAACACATGCCGGCAGGTGCAAATAGACCCGACACCACAACTGGGTAATTGAAACCAGAAGGGACAAACACTCCCCGATTCTACGGCCTCCCAAAGGTACACAAACCAGAAGCACCCCTCAGACCCATTGTCTCCCTCCCAGGCACACCAACACATAGGTTAGCCAAGGAGTTACAACGTAGACTAAAGTACCTCGTCAGCAAGTCATCCCATTCAATCCACTTAGTCCAGAAGTTCCTCAGACCCCTCAAGGACATAAGAATAGTTGATGTTGAGACCATGGTGTCATTTGACATTACCGCCCTATTCATATCAATTGACATACCACTGGCAAGAGAAACACTAGCAACACTTCGAAAAGACTGAGACCCGACAGACAACATGCTGAAACTACTGGACCTATGTCTCACGACCCACTGTACCTTTTAATGGCCAAATCTATGAACAGAAAACCGGGACACCCATGGGGTCACCTATCTCTGGACTAATTGCAGAAGTTGTGATGCAGAGACTCGAAAGCATGACCCTTCTGCAAATCCAACCTAAACTATGGATCCGATACGTTGGCGACACTTTTTTGTCCTTATCAAATGGACCAAACTAGAGGAGACACACCAACTAATAAACAACACTCTCACTGGCCTCAAATTCACCAGGGAAGAGGAAAAGAACAAACAGCTCCTGTTCCTGGACGTCATGAGACTTCACTAATGATGTTGGTGTAGAGCATTTGGGCCCCATTTAATGTGGTGATAGTTACACAACACAATGGAAGGTAGTCTACGCAAGAACCGTGTGGCAGTCCCTCCTACAGATACTGTCATTGGCAAATGCATCTGCGGCAGTATGTATTATAAAGAAGATTGCAAGAGTAATTTTTAGAAATAGAGGCGAGAGTTGGCATTGGACGACTAGAAAATGAAGCTGGAGAAGTACTAATGGGAAATGAAGAAATGGCGGAGGACCTGAATTGGTACTTTGCATCAGTCTTCTTTGGTGGAAGACACCATTAGCATACCACAACTTCAAGCGAGTCAGGGGCAGAGGTGACTGTAGTGGCCAACAGTACGGAACTACTGGGAATTTGATCCACCTTCAGACCTTCCAATCACCCAGTCCAGATGAACTACACCCCAGAGTTCTGAAGGAGATAGTTGAGATTGTAGAGGCAATGGTGTTGATCTTTCAGGAATCGCTGGAGTCCTGGAGGGTCCCACAGGACAGGAAAATGGCTAACTTAGCCATCCCTGTTTAGGAAGGGATGGAGGCAGAAGACCGGAAACTGTAGGTCGGTTAGCCTGACCTCGGTTGTTGGTAAAATTTTAAGTGTCCATTATTAAGGATGAGATTGCAAAGTTGTTGGAAGTGCGTGGTAAAATCGGCTGAGTCAACATGGCTTTGTCAAGGGGAGGTTATGCCTGACAAATCTGTTAGACTTCTTTTCAGGAGGTAACGAGCATATTAGATAAAGGAGACCCAGTGGATGTGATCTATTTGGAATTCTAGATGCCTTTGACAAGGTGTCATGCAGGAGGCTGCTAAATATGTTTTGGCAGCCCATGGTGTTAGAGGCAAGGTGCTGGCATGGATAGAGGATTGGCTGACTGGCAGATGGCAGAGAGTAGGGATAGAGGGGTCTTTTTCAGGATGGTAGCCAGTTTCTAGTGGAGTTCAGCAGGGGTCATTATTGGGACCACAACTATTCATATTATACATTAACTATCTGGGTGAAGGGACTGAAGGCGTTGTTGCTAAGTTGGTAGATGATACAAAGGCAGGTGCAGGGTCAGCTAGTGTTCATGAGGTAGGGAGACTGCAGATGGACTTGGACAGGCTAGGAAAGTGTGCAAAGAATTGGCAAATGGAATAAAGTGTGGGAAGGTGTGAGGAAGAATGGAGGCATAGACTATTTTCTAAATGGGGAAGACTTCAGAAACCTGAAGCACAAAAGGACTTGAGTTCTAGTTCAGCAGTCTCATAACATGCAAGTTGAGTTTACATTTGCCTTCCAAACTGTCATGTTAATATTCATTTCAAGAGACCTAAAATACTGAGTAGTACGTCAGAAATGTACTACTGAGGTAGTAAAAGGCTCTGGTCAGATTGCATTTGGAGCATCGAGCAGCTTTTGGCCCCGTATCTAAGGATGGACGTGCTGGTGTTGGAGAGGGTCCCAAGGAGGTTGATAAGAATGGAGGCTTGTCATATATGAAGATTGTTTGTTTGAGGACTCTGGGTCTGCAGTCTGTGTTTAGAAGTATGAGAGGGAATCTGATTAAAACTTACAGAACATAGAACATAGAACATAGAACATAGAACATTACAGTGCAGTACAGGCCCTTCGGCCCTCGATGTTGCGCCGACCTGTGAAACCAATCTGAAGCCCATCTAACCTAAACTATTCCATTATCATCCATATGTTTATCCAATGACCATTTAAATGCCCTTAAAGTGGGCGAGTCTACTATTTTTGCAGGCAGGGCATTCCACGCCCTTACTACTCTCTGAGTAAAGAACCTACCTCTGACATCTGTCTTATATCTATCACCCCTCAATTTAAAGCTATGTCCCCTCGTGCTAGCCATCACCATCCGAGGAAAAAGGCTCCCACTGTCCACCCTATCTAATCCTCTGATCATCTTGTATGTCTCTATCAAGTCACCTCTTAACCTTCTTCTGTCTAACGAAAACAGCCTCAAGACCCTCAGCCTTTCCTCATAAGACCTTCCCTCCATACCAGGCAACATCCTGGTAAATCTCCTCTGCACCCTTTCCAATGCTTCCACATCCTTCCTATAATGCGGTGACCAGAACTGTATGCAATACTCCAAGAATAATGAGGGGTCTGGATAGAGTGGATGTGGAGAAACTAGTAGGAGAAACTAAGACTTGAGGGCACAGCATCCAAGTGAAGGGAGGGGAGGAGGATGGTTAATCTATGAAACTCATTGTTGCAGAAGGCTGTGGAGGCCAAGTCGTAAAGTATATTTAAGATAAAGATATATAGTTTCTTGATTGGCATGGGGATTAGAGATTATGGGGAGAAGGCAGGAGAATGGACTGGAGAAACATATCAGCCATGATCGAATGGTGGAGCAGACTCAACAGGCCTAATAACCTCCTGTATCTTATGGTCTTATGATAGGCAGGTTGGTGATGATGAGGTTAAGTGTGCTTTTCCCTCTTGTTGATTCTTTTGCCTCCTGCCATGGACTCAATCTAGCAGCTATTTCCTTTGTGACTCTGCCAGCTTGGTCAGTAGTGGTGTTGCTGAACCACTTGTGGCGATGGACATATTGAACTCATCCACCCAGATGTAGGGTATTCGCCTATGCAAGGTTTGTTTTTGTTGAATTGGGTAACTTCTGACATTCTTCCAATTGGCAGAAAATTCAATTTGCTATCGTGTATGTTCAATATGTACTCAAAGATTGAGGCAATGTGGTTGCACTTTATGGAAAATCATGCTACTTCACTGCTGAGGAGGAATTCTTGGCACTACTTATCTGGTGTGTGAATAGATTTGCACGGTAGTTTTATGTAGTTAGAGAGGTGGCCTGCAAGCAGCAAGAATTGTGTGATTTTGAGCCTTGATAAAGCTTGAAACTTCCAAAAAGGGTGTTATTCCAAGATGAGTCTTGTACAGTTATTTTTCTTTTGCTGAAAAGATCAGAAATTTTTTTAAGAAATTAGGACTGGTAATACTAGTTGTGCTCCAATCTGCCAAAGTTAATTGGCTAATCTAAGGTTTATGTTGCAGATCTAATTTTATAAATTAAATTTTTTTGATATGGTGCTGACTCAGTGTTTTATATTGCAGAATTACAAACACTCCTGACTGTTCTAGTTCTGAAACTATGGAAGCCACAAGCATGTTGCCCATACTGAAGAAAAGGCTAGCCTTTCTCTCAGGTATAGTATTATGTATGTTATTTGAGAGTTGACTTAGTTAATAGAGTTTCATGAAAGATTGTTTTGCATTCTCGGTATAAGTTTGCTGACCTATGAATTGATCGTTTCCAATGATGTTACATTTTGATTTGTCATTATGGTATTTTGAAAATTATTAATATTGAGTATACAACAGACTAGGGTTATAAAGAAATTGTGAAAATGTGTATTATTGATGTCTTTATTAATCAGCATTTTCCTCTTAAAATTATTGTAGGTATCAGAAATTTTATTGCTAGCATTGGAGGAAGATTAAAACATGGAGTAATCAATCTAGTTGTGTCCATCATATGAATTACAATTAGGAATTTCAAGTAATCAGTTTGTTCAACAGCCCAAAATTTGGATCTGATAATACCTTTTTTTTGGTTGATAACAGAAATAATGATAGCACTAGTCCACTTTGTGTGACCATTTCTGGTTAACAGTGTTAGCTACCAAAAATGGGCAGTGGAATATAAATGAGACAAATGTCTTGGCATCATGAATCTCATTTTATGTCACTTCTTTGCAATTACAAGCTAATATAATGTTAACAGCTTTAACAGCAAAGTACAGACAGATAAAAGCTTTGCAGGACCTTTCATTAAAATCTTAGGAATGGAAGTAGGAGTGGACCATTTGGTTGTTTGAGCTGGTTTTAACACTGAATAAAAATGACTGATTTGATTGTGGCCTTATCACAACTTTCCTACCTGCCCCCATAACCTTGACTTTCTTGTCAATTAAATATTTATGTAACTCTGCCTTGAATATACTAAATGATTTAACCACAACCACATACACCCCCCTCTCAGTTCTAAACTGTCTGACAAGAAGAAATATCCTTCCAGCATCCACCGTGTCAAGTTGCCTTAGGATTTTGCATGTTCCAAGAAGATGACCACTCACTTTCCTCAACTCTGTTGGATCCAGGTATAACCTGATCAACCTTTTCCTCATAAGACCATCCCTTCGTCCCAAGAATCAGCCTAGTGAACTTTCTCTGAATTGTTTCCAATGGACTTTTGTCCTCCTTTTGTTAAGGAGGCCAAAACTGTGCACAGAATTCCAGAAGTCTTAAGAACTAACACTTTCTAGAGAGCAAAAACAAAGTTGCTGGACAAGCTCAGCAGGTCTGGCAACATCTGTGAAGAAAAAGACAGAGTTAATGTTTCGGGTCCAGTGACCCCCCCTTCAGACCCTTCCTCCTCACTGGACCCGAAACGTTGACTCTTTCTCTTTTTTTTTCTTCACAGATGCTGCCAGACCTGCTGAGCCTTTCCAGCAACTTTGTTTTTGTTCTTGATTTACAGCATCTGCAGTTCTTTTGGTTTTTACCACCTTGAGGGCAATTTGAAACTGGCAACAAATGCTGGCTAAGCCAGCGACACCCATATCCCATGAATGAATTTTAAAAATTCAAATGTTTTTTGATACCTGAAACTGTGCATGGCACTATTTCAGGAACACACGTGCAGAAATTCAAACATGGTAAGTCATCACAGAATTTATGTGACATCATATGCAAATGCAATTCTGCACCTGTCCTGGAAAATGGGGTTAATTGGGACCGGGGATGCAGACTGGGAAGGAATGAGAATGAGAATCTCCTGGAGTGATGAAGGAAGGGGGCCGAGAAGCCAGGGGACATGGGGGTGTGATAAGGGTGCCCAAGAGCCAGAAAACCCTCTCCCCATCTTTTCTCCTGTGCTCCCCTGGCATTCTGCCCCCCTCATAACTATCGCCCCATCACCATTCCAACAGGGATCTTCATCTTCCCTTCGTCCCCTTTCCCAGTTTCTTTTCTTCCTCCCATTCTGGGTCCCGATCTTTCCTCTGGGCTGCGTCCTCCTGAAACTTTGTATGCATACGCACTATTGTTAACAAATGCAGCCTTAAAAGCATTGCTAAGGACCTGCACAACCACAGTAACGCTTACAATCTTTTAAGTTCTATTCCTTTTTTCTTCTAAGGGAGATGTGGTATTAAGATGTGGGTTCCTGTAGAAGATGGATTTCTGATGAACTATTTGATTTTCAGTGAATGATCATGAGATTAAGTTGCCTGAGATGAAAGAAGGGTGATCAATAAGCTAACTTTTTGGGCTTGAGTTTGTGTGTGCACGTGCGTGTGTGTTAGCACTTCACACCAATCTAGTTGCAGAGCAGAGAACATGTCTTTGCAGCAGATTTCATTTGAAATTTGGTATACTGACTAAGAGTGTTAAACCTGTTAAGAGATTACAGAAAAAAGAGATTAAACTTGTTAACTGAAGAATTCCTGCAGTCACTTAGACCTCCTGAGTTACCCAAACTGAGGACGGGAGAGAGAGTTTCTAGATATAAGATTCCAGATTTAAGATGGCTTGGGGATTTCTGACCTGAGGTGGCCATGCTTAAGATGCTACTTTTGCTTGTTTTAACTTGGAGTGTATGACCGTGGGATGGTTGGACGAGTTTGAACCTCCTGATTCTGATTTGAATTTTGGGAGTGAAAGTCAAATGTGTGTGGAAGGAAATTTGAAAAGGAACTTCATTTTAAAGTATAAGCATTTGTGATTTTAATGAATGGCCAGAAATGTTAAATACAAGATATTATAACAATGAATGTTCATGCTTTTTTGAATTAAACGGTGAACCCCAGGGCTGCTTCATTTGAATAAATGCCTGAGATTTTGGATTATAAAAGAGTCCAAATAAGCACGTTAGTAATCTGTATAGAGATCATAACAGTCTTTTCAGGATTTGTCATTGTTGATAACAGATGATTTCAGGGAGTAGAAGTTTCAGCCTTTATATATTTTCTCCCCCTAACTTTAGGTTTTGCAGGAGTTAAAATGCAAATTCTTGTCTACAAATTAGTTTGCTCAGAGAACTTTAAACCTGTCAAACATGATGAATTGGACTGCCCTTTTACTATTTTGCAATGACTTTGAAAAAATGCAGTTATCAGCAAGTCTTCAATGGCTTTTGTAGGAAATCTCTCTTGATTATCAGCAAACTACATGCAACAATATTGATTGTTTTCAAAAGGCCAAAATACTGTTGTAATCTGAGTAAGGCTATTCTTTTGCAGTATACAGATTACTTTTTTTATTTGAAAATCTTTTATACAAGAGATTTAAATTTTAATTGTACTCATAACATTAAATCAGATTACATTTTAAAGTAATATTCCCAGATGTACTAAGCACTTGCCCCTTGCTTACTTTCTGCAGAATAATGTTAGATCCGAATCTGTGCAGAAACATTGAATGGCATTGAAAATGAAATATATTATCTGTCTTACTGTAGCTGATTTTTGTCACAATTTAGGTGTTAATTTTATTTCAATTTCATTTTGGTGTTGAAAGGACAGGTCCACTATTGCTGATGGTTATCACTCTGGGTCATTGAATCCTTGATCCAGTTCTGTGCGTGGAGTGAGATCTGGAAACTTTAGTATTGTTTTGCTAGATAGAGGTCGCTTCACATGGTTCCTACATGATTTCTGTGGGCCAGTTGGCTGGTTTGCGTTGCAGAGTGACGCCAACAGTGTGGGTTAAGTTCCCACCAGCTGAGGATAACATGAAAGACACTCCTTCTCAATCTCTTTCCCTTAGCCTGAGGCGTGATGACCCTTAGGGTAAAGCACCATCAGTTGTCTCTTTGTAATGAGAAAGCAGCCATACGATCTGGTACTTATTTACATGATTCCTGAAGTCGATCTCTAGTTTATTATTATCCAATCACCAAACCCCACATACCTGCCAATTTCCTGCTTTTGCACCCTACTATGTCACTGTTTAAATTTCATTTATTTTGCGGCTGGTTCTTCCATACCCTACTGAGAAAACAATCTAAGAAGTTTCTTATCAGTACAATACTAAGCTCCTTGATTGTGCTTTCATAGGCATCACTTCCCTGGGCTGAACTCCTTGATTTACCCGTTTTTCTCCTGTCCCTTTTTCCAATACTGCGTTGTTTCTTATGCTTTGAAATCACTTTTTTTCCCTCCAAGTTTCTTTATTCTTGTGCCAAACAAATATCTGTAATAGTTTTAACCACCACTGAAACTCCAACTACTCTTTCTGTGTCTTTCCTGAAACTCTATCAAAGAGTTTCAGGCAATGACAGGAGTGTGATTTTTATGGAGGGCCTTAAAGAAGGAAATTAAAGCAGAGAGATTTTAGAAGGGAGAGGGAGTGAACATAGATTGGAAAGGAATTGGTTGCTCGGGAATGGAGTAAGTGGCAAGTGAATACTAATTCATTGCAAATGTGAAGGTGCTTCAGTTGAATATGCAAACAAATAATTGCTTACTTGCTGTGTTGAAGGAATTAGTAATGTGAGTAACCAACAGCAAGGGCGTATCTAAATGTATAAAAAGGAAAAGGAAGCCAAATTGAAAATAGGCCTCTTAGAGAATGAGGATGGGAAAATCATAACTGGGAACTAGGAAATAGCAGTGGGATTGAATAAATACTTTGCATTAGTAGGAGACACCGAGACTATTCCAAGTATTAGAAAAAATACTCAAATGGGGCTAAAGACTGATCGATTTCCCCAAACTGACTGGATGCATCCTACGTTATGAAAGGAAGAAGCTGCAAGATCATGGATGCACTGGTAGTAATCTTCTAGGAATCCTTGATTTTCTAATCCTCTTTCCAGAATTTGTTGATGTAACACCCTTATTTAAACAGGTAACTAAAGGCCAGTTAGCTTGGTGTTTGTTGTTGGGAAAATATTAGTCTGTTATAAAATATCTACCAGCAGAGCATTTAAAAATGCATAAAATGATCAAGCAAAGTCAGCATGGCTCATGAAGGGAAAATCGTGCCTGACAAATTTACTAGAATTCTTTGAGATAACAAGCATGTTAGATAAAAGCGAATCAGTGAATGTGATATGTTTGTTTTTTTTGATAAGGTACCACATATTAGGCTACTTAAGAAGAAAAAGGCCGATGGTGTTGGAGATAGTAGTATTATTAGCATG